TCCAGGCAATTCTGAGATTAAAAAAAAATCTTTTTAAAGATTTATTTTTATTGCAAAGTCAGATACACAGAGAGGAGAGACAGAGAAGACCTTCCATCTGTTGATTCACTCCCTAAGTGGCTACAACAGCTACAGCAGAGTGGATCCAAAAAGAGAAGCCAGGAGCCTCTTCCAGTTCTCTCACGTGGGTGCAGGATCCCAAGGCTTTGGGCTATCCTCGACTGCTTTCCCAGGCCACAAGCAGGGAGTTGGATAGGAAGTGGGACTGCCAGGATTAGGACTGGTGCCCATATGGGATCTTGGTGTGTGCAAGGTGAGGACCTCAGCCATCACGGACCCCCGAAACAAAATTTCATGAGAATCTTGAGAAAGTTCTGCATTAAGCATGCCTCAGTGGCACATCACTTGGTAACACTATTTTGCCTGAGCCTTCTGTTTTCTTTCCTACTCTTTCTCCCATTTCATTCCTGCTCCCTGACATCAGGTTACCAAATAGAAAGCACTTACTTTTGTCTCAGACTCTGCTTTCAAGAATAAGCAAGATTAAAAAATAATAATAACAAGACTAAAACACTAGGTAGGAGGATGGCCACAACATAGCAGTAGAAGATGGCCCTTGAGGCCCTTGGGCCCCTGCACCCCTGTGGGAGACTCCTGGCTCAGCTCCCGGCCATTGTCGTCTGGGGAGTGAACCAGTGGATGGAAGATCTCACTCTCCCTCTTTCCTTCTCTCTATAACTTTGCCTTTCAGGTATAAATTTAAAAGTAATTAAAAAAAATAGGTAATTTCTATTTGCTGTAAAGGAACACTCCATGGCAGCACCATCAGTGATTCAGTGATTATACCTTTTTTGTTTGTTTGTTTCTGAAAGTCCCACTTGGGGTGTGGGAACAGCTGGTACAGTTGGCCTACAACTTAATAGACAGCTTTCCATTAGATGGGTCCAGGCCCTGCGTCTGCGTCGTGGTTCTCAGCAGTCTGATGCTACTATGCACACGGAAGCACCCGCAATCTGTTTAATCAGGAGAAGCATCATCCAAAGCTTTGTGTTGCTTTAGAAACAAGAGTATCTCATTTCTTCTTCTTCTCCTCAGCAAAAAGCTGGAACTTTTAGTGATATGATTCTTTCTGCTAAAGAACTCAAACACCACTTAACAATGCATAAATCCTGAAATACAATCAGGACTTTGAATGCCTTGAAAGATAAAGGGGATTACTAAGATTAAATTAAAGCTGCACAGGTGCTGGCTCTGAGTAAAAACATCAACAATTATAACTTTTTCCTCATTTGAGGTTCTGAAGATACTACAGAGAACAAAATTAATTAAAATCCCTCCCTTATGGAATCTGTATTCTAGTAGAAGCAAGGTGAGACAGGAAGACATAATTAAATAATGAACATGTACTGTATTTAAAATAAGGGTCACAGGTAAAAATAGACCAGCGTGGGTATTAAGTGCTGAACTGTATCCTTTTCCTGCATAAGCCATAACCTGCAGACTAATCCCTGGCCTCCTAAGGTCACTGCTTGTGGACACAAGACCTTTAATTAACAAAGCCAAGATATGTATGGGCTTTACAATAAGCTTTAGTCCAATGGAACTGGTATACTTATGAGAGGAAATCTGGACACACAAGGAGCTGTGGGACTTCGTATAGAGGAAACCTCCTGCATGGTGGGATAGTCTGATGAATAATGATGTCACCAGGCTGAGGACGGTGCCACTGGTGGGTGCACAACTTCAATTTTTTTTAACATTTATTTATTTATTTATATTGGAAAGTCAAATATTTACACAAAGAAGAAGAGATAGAAATATCTTCCATCTGCTGATTCACTCTCCAAGTGTCCACAGTGGCCAGAGCTGAGCCAATCTGAAGCTAGGAGCCAGCAGCTTCTTCCAGGTCTTCCATGAGGGTGCAGGATCTCAAAGCTTTGGGCCAACCTCTACTGCTTTCCTAGGCCACAAGCAGGGAGCTGGAAGGGAAGCAGGCCTGCCAGGATCAGAACTGGTGCTCGTATGGGATCCAGGAGCAAGTAAGGTGAGGACTTCAGGCACCAGGCTATCATGCCAGGCCCAGCAACTTTGATCTCTAAGCTATAGCCATGATCAGGACAACTATACCAAAGAAAATATTTTTCCGCATTCTGTGTGACTTTCAAAATGCCTGTGGATCTCTCAAGTATAAATTGATTTGTGCTAATTTCTAAAATCCATTGATACCAAGCTGGGATCTTGCAATCAACTTTACAGTGAAAACAAGTAAAACACTCTGGAAAAAGATACTGATTAAACTTTGCAAGGTTTTGTAAGAGTTTTTGGTCCCATATTTCTTTCCTTATATTTTGGGAACCCAATTTAATGTGTATTAGACTGATTCTATCTCACAAGTCATTGATGACTATTAAACTTATTTTGATTCTGTATACTTTAAATCTGGATACTCTGAATGGTTTTTCTTCAAGTGTAGTAATTTTCTCTAACATGTGTCAAATGTACTGATATTCTCATCAAATAATTACAATTATTATGATTTCAACTGTAGGGTTTTCATTCAGTCCTTTATATTATTGATTTTATATTTCTATTGAGGCTCCCCATGACTTTATCTATGGCTTCATCTATTTAATCTACCCATTATTTTACATTCTTTGTCTACTAATTCTAATATCTGTAGATTTTCTGCTAGTAACTTATGAAAAAAGTGATATTACTGAACGAGGAGATAAGAGTAATTTTTTTTCCCCAAGAGGACACAGGTCAATGGAATGCCTATGTGATAAAACAAAACAAAACAAAACAACAGAACTAGTCCTGAATTAACATCACACTTCAAAATCAATTCTGCATAGTTTATATATATAAATGTCAAAAGACTAGTTTCCAACACAAGAGATTGTCACTACGACCCTGGAGCAGGCAATGATTCCTCGCAGGCCAGCAAAGGCTACAGTCATGCAAAAATTTTTGGTTTTTTTTTTGGGGGGGAGGTGGGGGAGAAACAACAAAAAAAGAATAATTTACTTCAAAATGCCCCCAAAAGACAAAAAGTAAAGCAGACAATGCCAATATGCTCAATAGTAGAGGGTTTTTTTCTTATTTAAAATAAAATACAACCAAAGGCTGTAGACACTGACCCACAGAGTTCAGGAACACAGTCACAGAGAAAGATCTGTGAATCAGACTGGAAGAAAAATAAAAAATGTATTTTTTTTAAAAGCTAATAATGAGATAGTTAAATACAAGCCAGGTTAGGAAAGATGCTTGTTTATAGCATTCATCTAAACAAAGATAGCCTTACAGCAAAATAAGTGAGTACCTAGAAGTTCTGTTAAGTGAGATATACAACTAGCCCATAACCACAAGATGTTCCTTGTTAGTCATCATCACAGCATTGTAAATTAAAGGTGTACCACCACCAGTGTTGGTGAGGATGTGGGCAAGGAGTATGCTCATCATACAATACTGCTGGAGTATAAGTCTGTAGAACTGTGTGGCACTACAACTATTGATGACCATCATCGGGTCTATGTCCAAGCTCCTCTAATGTTATGTACATATTCCAACAAAAGTCTGTGTGGGAAACAGAATAATGCTCACATCGCTACTACTTGTTAGTCCCAAATGAGAAGGCAATCTGAACACTCATTGGCCTTTTCAGGGAGCACTCACAGGACCTCACCCGGATTTAATTTCTGCAAAATATTCACAACAGGCAAGACTAGACAGGAAGATGAGTGTTCGGTGGAGCTGGACAGGACAGAAAAGTGGTGTTGGGAGGTTTGGACCGAAACGGACCGGAGTTGCTTTTCAGGTGTTGAAGACTGGCTATGGGGATGGCTGTTCACACAGACACCCCAAAACATTCACACTGACACCTACACGTGGGATGAATAAACTGTGCATGTGACTTATGTCTAAATACAGCCATTCTTTAAAAAATGAATAAAGGAATAAAAAAAATGAAGGAAAAAGAGTGTATTTCTGAACAATTAAGTGCCATACAGCAGGAAAGAGAATACTTATTACTATAAGATTTGTTACACAGAAAAAAATCAAATATAACGTGGAATTTACAAAAGTCAGGCTGTTGAATATTCACTGAATAATTAATGTGTAATTCAAGCAGACAACTAAATCATGAATCTCAGGGTGAGCAGCAGTCACACCGGGAGAGTTGTTCCCAACTGGGCGGGCAGATGAAGGGAGCTGGAGAGAGCCTTATTTCTTGACCTGGGTAGTGGCTGCCAAGGGTGCGTTTATTTTTGAAATAATAATGAATTGTTATTTTTATATTTTATTTTAATATTTTCTTATTTTTCATTTCTTATAATGAATTATTTTTATAATTTGTACAATTTTCTGTGTCTAACACAAAACAACAAAATGAAAAATCCAGTTTAGTATGTTGTCCTATCAGTACAAATTCCCTCCTCAAAAAAAAAACATAGAAAGAAATATAAATATTTTAACAGCCGTTTCATATGGCTTGGGATCGGGGGGAGTTTACTTTCTTCATCTACTCCTCAGTATTGTCTAATTACAAGAGTGAATGTATAGCCTATTTGTAACTTTAAAATTCTTAAAAGAACAGTCTGAGAGATCGTCAATTTTCTTTTACATTAACTTATTTGAATGAGACTTTCGCTTCTGGATGGAAAGCAATGCCATTTCAGCCGCCGGTCTGAAGGTTTCCTGGTGGCCCGCGACCCCCGGAGAAGCGACCAGCCCGGGAGGAAAAGCCTGGGTGCAGGTGAAGGAGGGGGACCCAGGAGACCGAGCCCCGAGAGGCAGCAGAGCTCGGTCCTCCCGTAAACCCGGGGCGGGACAGGGCTGCTGGCTCGACTTCAGGCCGGCCACTCCCCGCGTTCTGTACACGTGCGGGCGGCTGTGAAAACAAAGACGAAAATGCGACCTGCAAACCCTACATTATTCACTGGCAAACTCCCCCAGTGCAGGTTCTACGCAGACAAATCCGAAGGTCTTTAGGATTTTACCTGGGTCTGCCCTTGTAGGGGCGCAGCCGGGTGTGGGAAACAGAATAATGCTCGGCACGGCCAGTCACAATCCACTCCACAAAGTGTGCAAAAGTCAGCCCTGACGAATGCAGCCGGGAAGCGGTCCTGGCCGGGGGCTCCGAAGCGGTGAGGATGCCCGCTGCAGCCCTCCGCGGCCCGGCAGGCAGCAGCGTTCCCGCCAGCGCCGTCCTCCCTGGAAGTCTCGAAGCCCACAGCGCGACCGGCCTGTCACCCGGCGGACCACCCAGCACGCCCGGCTTCCGGGCGGCGCCGCGCGGCCTCCCGGCGCATGCGTCAGGCGCGCAAGCTCCGCCCACCCCTCCACCCGCAGGCCGCACTTACCTTGCGGGCCCCGCCCACCCGCAGGCCGCACTTACCTTTGGGTCCCGCCCAGCCCGCACGCCCCGCCCAGCCCGCAGGCCCCGCCCACCGCGCCGTCCCGGCTTGTCCCTCAGGCAGCGGCTGAGAGCGCCCACCTCCGGCCCTGGTGTCGGCTGAGGAGAAAGTCCCGGAGGAAAGTCGAGAGCGTTTTCAGAGTTAGTTAAGTGCAGCGTAGACCCCAGCCTGTAAGTGTTGCCGATGTATACGCAAAAGGCCGTTTCGTACCGTTTGGTTTAGTGTCCCAGTGTCTTTATTCTGAGAATAACGATGTCTCAATCACGGCGCCACAGACCCGACCTGTGGGGGAGGCTCTACGTGTGTGTGTGTGTGTGTGTGTGTGTGTGCCGAATCCTGTGCTGAGCTGCCCTAGCCTTTCCCACCACGTGCCAGTGTGTGTGTGCACCTGCTGTGGTGCAGGTGGAGGCCACAGCTGCCCCCTCCAGTTCTGGTGTCCACAGATACTCAGTGCTATCCGCATGCTTGGGAGAGTTAACACTGCTACGTTATTCCAAGAGTTCGTACCAGTCTGCTCAGTGATTTTCCAAACGTCTTGGATGACCTCACTGTCAAATATGGATCTAAGTTATCACAAGGATTACATGTTGTAGTTATCGTTGCAGTTCCCCACCCTTGTGGTTTTCCCTGGCGTTACCGTTTCTGAAATGTTGGGGCCACCGTTCTTCCAGAATATCCTTGCACTTGGGTGTGTCAGAAAGGTTCCTCACTGTAAGGTGGATGATGTTTGGGTGAGAATCCTGCTCAGGTCGTGTGTTATCCAGTTTTACAGTTTCAGATGACCATGTAGCTGTTGTAACAACATTTAATTTTTTAAAAGGTGCTCTTTCTTTCTCCAGGAATTTGAGCTACCACTTTAATCACACACATAAATTTCAACCCTGTACTTGGGTCTGCAGCTGTGTCTTTTATTGGACTGTCTACTCATGTGCTATTATTTTAATTATGGAAACTATAAAATGCATTTCGGTGCCTGATAAAAGTAGAATCAGCAATTTCTCAAGTAGTCCTCATTGCTTTCAGTGAAAAAAGTAAAAACAGGATTGACAGTCTAAAACCTGTGCGTAGAGAGATGTTCATGGCTAAGTGACTGGTCACCACTTAGAATTTTTGCTACAAGAGTTGGACAATACAGGTTTTCAAAATAAACATAAACTTGATTCATAACTTGATGATGATTTTCTGACTTTAATGAAAGATTCTAGAGGTTTTACTTGATTTTATGTTGCATATGTTTTCTTGAAGCCAAAAAGCATAGCCCCTAATGATTGTAATGTAACTTTTTAATTTCTCCCAAATAGTAAAAATAATAGTGAAAACTAATAGTAAAAATGGTAAATGCAGGTAAACATAGTTAGGCTTGTGTCATGCTGATTTCAATGTAGATTGCTGAATTAAAAAGAAAATAAAGTGCAAAAAAAACCATAAGCAAGCTTAAGTGGATTATCTAATTCATTGATTTCATTCTTATGTTTGGTATTGAAATCTATGAATTCATTGTGAGCAGTCTTTAGCAGTAACTTGTAGGCTTGGTTGTCATGCCATTTTGGTTGTCATGCCATTTTGGTTTAGCAGTTTTCAATATCACTGAGTATTTCACTTTCAGTCAAGTTTTATACAATAGAAAAATGTAAAGATTTGAGATAGGATGGCTTTTTAAAATGTGTGAACTGTTAAGAATTTTTAGTTTTATATTGTTGATATACTTGCATGTTTCCGTATATAACTTATTGAGGTATATGCATGTGGATTTTTAAATTACAAATCAATTTTCTTACATGTCCTCTGTACTTGTTTTAGATTAAGAGAGGTATATTAGCATCTGCTATTGTTTGTTTTTGAGTTTTCTTTGAACTGCTTGTAACTTCTGCAGAAATAAGAGCAGCTGCTGTGTTATTTGCCCTGAACCTTTTCGGAAGTGTTTGATTTCCACCACCGTGAACTCTAGCCTTCAGCGTTCAGCGCTGGGAGACGTTCTTGCTTCTGTCCTGCTGCTTGGCCTCAGTTCTGTGATGCTGAATTTCAAAAATCTCAAAGTTTCTTTTAAATTTGCATTTTCTTGCTGCATCCCAGCCCATCCTTCTTTTCATTTCCAACTTGTTTGTAGTGCGTCTTCTCATTTAGATACAGCACAGAGTATTCTTTTGGGTTTAGCCAGGTTTTTTCCCTTTTACTGGTGGATTAAGTCCCCTGCTGGTTAGGTGCAAGTTATTTCATCTGTGCACATGTCATAATAGCATACAGATGATGTTGTGTGCCATGTAGGAACAGAGGGGAGGAAGGGGGTTGCACGGAGGTATTGCTACAATATATGGGAAAGCAGTGGGAGGGAGGATGGGGCTGGTGGAAGAGGAAATCCCCGAGTCTCAGGAACTGTACCATGAAAAATTATATATGTGTATATATATATCTCAAGCTAATGAAAGAGATCATCAAGAACACACAAAACTGGAAAGATACTCATCGCTCATTGATTGGAAGAGTTAATATCATTAAAATGTCTGTGTTTTAATGTCCTGATTTCACATCAGAGCCCCTGGGTGTGTTCCCAGCTCCCACTTCGGATTGCAGCTTCCCCCTGTGCAATGGTGGGAGGCAGGCAGCCATGACTCTAGTGGTTGGGGCCGGGACTGGGTTCCTGGTTACCGTCTTCAGCTTGGTCTCACCCTGGTTTTTGTGGTCATTTGAGTGAGCCAATGGATAACCGTTTGCTCTTTGTTATATAAAAGCATTTTTTTTCCCTGAAGATATAGGATGAATAAAATTATAAACGTACAAAAATTAAACAGGTGGTCAGAAAGCCTCACTGAGAAAGTGATTTTGGCAAACACACTTCAGGTAGGTAAAGAAGGAGTCATTTGGATAAGGTGGTCCGGGTGAGGGCCTGCGTACAGCTGACGGGTCGCAATGAACAGAAGGGAGCTGTGGGTTCACTGAGTAAGCCGAGCTGGGGAAGCTAGGGCCAGAGCTGACCCTGTCGGCCCTTCCAGCTTTGAGAATTTGGGGGCCAGGTTTTGAATCGTTTCTACTTCCCCCACAGCCCAGTGACACTTGTCATAACGCTGTAGGAATACATTACCAACCCGGAAAGTCCAGCCTAGCAAGGGGAGGAAGTCAGGCTTGTGGGTGTTGTATTTGGGTCTGGAACTGAAATTATGCGTGAAAATAGTTTCATACTTGATGCCTTTGCGGGTTGGATTACTCAACACGCTTCCCGGCCCCTTGTAATGCAGAGCAGCCATCCTTCCACTCCCACAAACGTCCCACCGAGACGCCCCTTAGCAGCAGCTGCGTGGTTCCTGGAAGAGTGGGCGTGCAAGTGCCCATGAACCTGGGCTAGCAGCATTCGGGAGGCACAAAACATTCACATTCTACGCTTAGAATTTGTACGAATGGTCACAGAACAACACTGTTTGGGAATTCCTTGGGGGAAAAAAAAATACGGTATTTGGCTTAGAGCAGGCTTTTCTCTTTTTATGAAGAAATTTGATGTACCAGAAAGCTAAGTGAAACGAAATGTATGTCTGTGAGGACTAGGTATTGGACTAGGTCTGCAGTCCAGAAAGTCAGTGTCCAGAATGGAAGCAGAGAGGAGATAAACTTTTTATACCGGGGGCAGGATTTCTTGTTCCTGTCTTTAAGCAGTTTTATTTGGAAGCGTTTCACTTTTCCTTTGCGATCCTTTTTTTTTTTTCCCTTTGTTTTCTTCACAATTCTTTTTTCCCCAGCTACACTGTCACAGTGTAATACTGTCTGACTCACAACCTTCTATAGAAAACTGAACGCCGCATTGTAAAATAGGACACAAAACAAAAGACTTTATCTGGAGCTGAGGTCATCTCGGCGCTCGGAGACCCAGCGCAGTCATTCAGCAGTGTCTGGGCCCTGCCTGCCGTTCCTGGTACGCTAGTGCCCCCTGCTGTTCGCAGGGAAGTACTGACTTCAAAAATGAAGCTTTTCATGACGTTGCACGGTTTTAACACGGAACAAGTCAGCTTAGTCTTTCCAAGGTTTAACCAGAATAATTTCAAGAGGTGCTTTCTAAAAGGATGACTAACACCGGAAATTACAAGTAGATTTTCCTACCCCCTCACATGTGAAAAAGGAATGGGATTCATTTACTTGGCTGATGCATCCACTTCCCCTTTTGTTTCCTAGGGGGCAGAGCCTAGGCTATTGAAGTGGTCTGTAGCTTTACCGGTAGAGAGAGCAGGAGTGGACTGAGAAAATGGGGGCGAAATGCCCAAAGGGTGGGGGTGGCTGATGGATAATTTCCAGGCAGTGCAGCAGTTCAGCCCTGACAGATGGTTTGCGTTCTGCCAGGAGCTTGCGCTGCTGCTAGCTGTGTGCAGGGAACCTAGATGGCCCACTTAGGAGCCTTCAGTCCTTCTGCTTATTTTTCTGAGCTTGGTCCAAGAAACTTCTCACAACCCGTATGACGTGGAGTGGGGCCTGTGATGCAGAGCAGAGTGCTGGAACTGAGGATCTGGCCAGCTCTGTCGTTTTCAGAGAGGTCAGGGGTCATCTCTGGCTTGGGTGGCGGCCAAGGTACATGTTATATGTATGTGCAAGCATGGGAATGGCATGTGTTGGGCTTTGGACCACAACCACCAGGGCTTCTGGAGCTTCCTGTGGGCTTGAGAAAAACCGGACCAGGATCCCCTTGCAAGAAAAGCAGCTTGGAAGTTAGGGTCTTTATTCCAGAATCTTTCTTTGTGAGATACCTGGTTAGAACAGAATCTGCTCAGATTCAAAAAATTACAAGTGTTTTTGTTATGGTAAACCTTGAAATCTAGCCTGAACTGCTCTTGAAGAATTTAGTTTTTGCTGTAAATATCACTAAAAATGTTACTGTTAAAATTTTGGAAGTCCCTAATTCAAAGGCACATACGGAGTTTAAGAAATAAAAACTCGAGACGTTGTTTACATGGCTTATTTCAGACCTCGGTGGTCTGATTCTTTAATGCTGTGCAGGTTATGTTCACGGTGTTGGTTTCAGTGTTGTCATTTTCTACTTGTCTTGTATGTCTTGCTATTCATTTATCCTCCTACCCAAACTTACCTATTTTTACTATTAAGATTTTGTATGCTTTAGATGTTTTCTTAACTTATATTTGAGGGGAAGGAAGGGAGGGAGAGTGAGTGGGAGAAAGAGAGAAACAGCTAGCCGGTGCACCTGCTGATTTGCTCCCTAAATGCCCTGGTCCAGAGCATAAGACAGAAGCCAGGAACTCAGTTCGGCTCACCCAGTGGGATGACAGGAACCTAGCCAGCAGGGCCATCTCCTGCAGCCTGATAAGGCGCAAACCAGTAGAAAGCTGGAATCAGCAGTGGAGCTGGGATCAGCTTTAAGCACTCTGGGGTATGGGATTTTAACCACTTGGGCCAAATACCGCTCTCACTCTCACAAAAATTTGTGTTCTCCACTGAGCTAAGTGTTTAAGATATGGAAGAATAGGGCACACCGTGCCTCCAAGACTTTCATAGTACTTTAGCAAATTGTAGAATATTTTCACAATAATCATGCTAAGAGTGAGGTCAGGATTTTGTTACTTTATTGGTGTTTATTTTGTTACCTTGTTCCATTCCAGGCCATGTGTTCCATTCTGTTCTACTCCATTCCTTCTCTTTACACTTCACTTTGTACTTAGACTGAAATTTCTTTTTTAGAAGATTATTTATTTGAAAAGCAGAGTTACAGAGATGGGTAGGGGTGGGAAATCTTTAGTCTGCTGGCTCACTCCCCAAATGGCTGTACAGCTGGAGGTGGGCCAGCTCAAAACCAGGATTTTCTGGATCTCCCACGTGGGTGGCAGGGGCCCAAGTGCTTGGCTCATCTTGGCTGTTTTCCCGGGTGTAAGAGCAGGTAGCCGCAGCAGTGCAGGAGTAGCTGGGCCAGGTGGGATGCAAAATGGCAGATGGAAGCTTAACTTGCTATGCCATGGTGAAATTTCAAATTAAGAAGTGTTTATTCTCTTTTTGTGCATTTTTGCCCAGGTGTTAGTACTCCAGCACTTAGTACAAGTTTGTTTATCGTGATAGCCTAGTGGCTAAATCCTCACTCTGCATCCACTGGGATGCCATATGGGTGCTTATTTGTATCCCGGCTGCTCCACTTCCCATTCAGCTCTCTGCTTGCAGCCTGGGAAAGCAGTAGAGGATGGACCAAAGCCTTGGGACCCTGTACCCATATGGGAGACCCAGGGGAGGCTCCTGGCTTCTAACTGACTTGACTCCAGCCGTTGTGGCCACTTTGGGGTTGAACCAGTGGATGGAATATTTTTCTCGCTCTCTTTGTAAATCTGCCTTTCTTTAAAAAAAAGAATCAAAGTTTATTTCAGCTCAAGGGTATAGAAGTGCCCCCCACTTTGCTTCAGCATCTGATGGTGGTTCTTGTTGGCAGAGTTGCAAACTAGCACATGGCAGCAGGAACTTTGAGTTACAAGAGAGAGGAGGAGAGACAGGGGCAGAGAGGAAGAGAGGTGAGGCAAAGGGGGAGAGTGAACCACTCCCCAGATGGATGAAATGATCATAGGTGGGCTGGTCTGAAGTTGGGAGCCAGGAGCATTTTCTGGGTCCATCATGGGTACAGGGGCCTAAGAACCTGGACCATCCTCTGTTGCTTTCACAGGCCATTAGTGGGGAACAGGGTCAAAAGTAGAGCAGCCGAGAGTTGAACTAGCACCCATTTGGGATGGCAGCACCACAGGTGGAGTCTGATATGCGACTGTGCCAGCCTCTATTGCTTTTTAAAGTTTTTATTAGTGTATAGAAAACAGATTTCATGTATTTCACAGGAACAGTCCTTAGAAAATAACTGTGCTTCACTTTTTCAAAAGAAATAATGTAAATTATTAAAGTATTTATAATGAATTAAATAATTTAAATAATTAAATAATTAAAATGTTATCTCAAAATAATAATTTGAGTTATTTTTCTTTTAGAAGCAAGAATTAATTTACTACTGTTTCTTTGTACAAAATTCAAAGTATTGGAACGTATTTTGGCCTTTTTTATTTTTGCAGTACAGATTGTTCATATTTAACTGTTCTGTTTAAATTGCCTAATTGGTTACATGATTTCTTTGAGTTACTGGGAAGTGAATCTTCCCTGCACGTATATGCAAAGGGTATACAGTAGGGCTACGTTTCGCTTCTCCTTTTCATCACCTTCCAAAGTTCCTAGGACTTTACTCGCCAGTTTGGAAATATTTTCTATGTGCAGCAGTGAGAACCGTTCTGGAGGACACTTGCAGGCTTAAAGCAAAATGTTGACAACACCTGTCGATAGTTCCAAGGCTTCTATGATTTATCCCATTTTGCTGTCCTTCCTCACATTAGATTTTGCCTAAAGTGTGATTCTGGCAAGTGCCAGCTTGTGCAGTGCAGACGTGAGCTGTTGCATTGTGTAATGCAATCGCCAGGAAGCAGGTTGTCCAGGCTTCATTGTGCAGGGTGCCGGGCTGGCTGGTGATTAGAAAGAACCGCAGGGACGATGCCCCAGTCGTGGCCCCAAGCCTGGGGTTATTTATAAAAGAATGTGCAATGAATAATTTAAAAAGTTCAAACACAGGATTAGAAGACAAGGTGAGCAAAGTATATGGCATTTTATTTCTGTTTCAGTAATTTTTTTTTTTTGAAGCTTGTTCGGTGCAGTTTAAGTGGCTAAAACTATAGAAGGAACAAACTTTGGTCTTAAATTGTCCATTCAAGAAGCTAGAATTCCTAGACATGGATCTCTAATACATATAGCAAACAAACAAACAAACAATTGACCTTTCTCCATCCTCAGCATGTCTGCATCTCTCAGGTCAGATCTCTGGAGGGCTGACAAACAGTGCGAACCCCGAAAGCTCTTTGCAGTTGATCGTCTGTGCACAGACAGATAAGAGAGCAAGGCGGGGCTTGGGAAACAACAGTCTGCTCAAGTAAAAAAAGGGAAATATTCTCCTGAGATGGTGAAAATGCATCATTAAATATCCCTAATAGGCATCACAAATAATTTATATGTGCTTTAAGCCTGTAAGTCTGAAGTTTATATTTAAATAGCATCTTCCTGAAACTCAAATTGCCTTAAGGCCTGTGGGCATATAAGATATTTTGTATTCATGAAAATGTCTTTTATAATTGATGTGGATGTTTGCTGATAGCCCAAGACTAATTTGTAAGCTGGAAAGTTCGTTTATATATTCATCTCACATCTATTACACATTTACTCTGAGCCAGATGCGATGCTAGGTTTC